AAGGGAGACACTGGACAGGGTAAGATATGACAAAATAATAATTTATAAATTATCAAGGGCTCATGAGGGAGGGCAAAAGTGAGGACCTAATGCCGGGGGCTTAAATGGAGAGGAAATGTTTTGAGAATGATGAGGGCAATGAATGTACAAACGTGCTTTACACAATTGATATATGTATGGATTGTGATAAGAGTTGTATGAGCCCCTAATAAAATGATTAAAAAAAGAAAAAGAAAAGGGTTTCAAAGGGGCACGCAAGAGAAGTACAACAGGGCAACTCATTCTAGCAACAAAAGGGGAGAAAGGGTGTATCATATACATTTTAGACAATTATCTTTTGCGTGCAAAAACAATACACCAGAAATGTGAATAAAATTCTGCCAACACCTTCACGAATTATATTTTATAAGATGTGCTTCTCTAACGTGTACGATGCCAAACAGCTCAGTGGATTTAATTTATGCTTATTGTCCTTATGAAACGTCACTAAGGCATTTTGTCAGAATCTTGTTTGTTTTCCGTACTGCAAGAACACAACTTACTCTACTCCAAATCCTTGTTGATTCCACGGCTGGCCATACACTCCATAAGGCGGGACTTGCCACCCATTTGCCATGTACTGCCCATACTGTTGGGGGTTTCCATACACTTGGCTCCATTGGCCCCACTGGCTGTAGTCAACCTAGGAAAGAGCAAAGGAATATTTCAGGGAAGAAGAAGGAAAGACTGCACTTGAACAAAGTGTGGGAGACAAGGAAGAGACCAACGAAGCCCCCTTATGTGACTAGGATTCTGTTATTTATCACTGTCTAAGCCTACTGGGGTGGTGACACCTGTGAAAAGAAAGTATTAAGATTCAGTTAATACCGCAGAAACAATCACTTTTGAAATAGCATTAATAATATCAATTGAAAGCAGCTACATATACGTTACTATCGGGTTTTGTTATTTTCAGAGTTTCCAAAGTGTCTGTGTGTATTTGTAGGGTGGATACTAGTATGTTTTATGAAAAATCGAATTACCTGTTGGAAATTTTTAGTCATATCAGGAGATTCTTTACCCCAATAGCATTTAACAACATGCCCTTCAATCGTAGTACCATTCACCGAAACAATGGCATGGGCTGCACTTTCGTGGGTTGAAAATCTGAGAGGAAGACAATAAGGTTTTGTTTATTTTCAAAGACTTAACAGAGTAAATAGTACAGAAATCCATTAGCTGATAGTTGCCAGTTTCGGTTTCCCTAAAGCACGTGACTGAGCAGTTCATCTTGGAGCCAAGTGAGCTAACTAAAAGGACTGGATCAAATATGAGTCAGGATGGATTTTTACCTGACGAATGAATAGCCCTTCTCCGGAAAAACTCTTATTTCCATAATCTGCCCAAATGGTGAGAATGTCTGTCTCATAAGCTGATCTGAGGAGGAAGAACAAAACACTCAGTTGCGTAACGCCACGAGAGAGATGCTGAACAAGAAAGTGACTGGAAAGCAAAACGCTGTACCTGTTAACCCGGAAGCAATTCCTCCACAGTAGACAGTACAATTTTTGGGGCTAGACTGGTTTACTACATCTTCAAATCTCAACTGTTTAGTGTTGTCTGTATGCAGAGAAAACAAAAATGCTAATTATTGTTCAATATTACATATGTTAAGAACCATATACTTTATAAAAAAAGTTTGTATGTTCTGGATAATTGACACAGTAAGTTAGGTTCCCATTTACCATCTACATTTTGTATACAGCAGCGGTTCTTAACCTGTGGGGTGTGACCCCTTTGGGGGTCGAGCGACCCTTTCACAGGGGTTGCCCAATTCATAACAGGAACAAAATGACAGTGATGAAGTAGCAATGAAAATAATGTTATGGTGGGGGGGAGGTCACCACGACATGAGGAACTGAAGGGTCACGGCATTAGAAAGGTTGAGAACCACTGGTATACAGTTTGTGCCAAACTGTCTCAATAGGGAGGGAAAAATAGACCCTTCCCCGTAATGGTTCAGTTCCAGAAGCACACACTAAAGCCCAGGCTTCTCCAGACAACCACATCCAGATGGAACGAGTCTTGCCTTCTCATAAAATATTAAACTTTAAGAAAGACATGGGCTAAGGATCTTATGATAAATATATGACTTTAACATACACAGCAGGCATGTCTTACTTTCTTGTGTACTTTTTGGAGCAGGTGGTTTACGAGTGGCCCAATTGGTTCTGATTTGACGACCACCCAACCACTGACCTCCCATATGCACAATTGCATTTTCCGCATCCTACAGAGGAGAGAGAAGGAAGCAATCACAAACAAGAAAAACACTGATATCACAGCCTAAGGGGAAATTAATATCGGCACTGCTAAAATCAATAAATCTCATTAGTAAATTTACTGAACATCCTAAACAATCAAAATGAAACGCCACAAAAAATGGTTTCGACTTGATTCATAAAACGGTTCTTACTCTTAGGTTTCACTGTAACAGGGCAGCATTTAAGCATCCAGTGACACCCGCTGCCAACAAGCTGATTCTGACTTGAGTGCCTTGTCTGCAGAGTAAGCTGTGCCATACGATTGGCAACACTGTACGTTTTTAATGGAAGCACACTGCCACATTTCTCCCACAAAGCTGTTATGGGTCAGAAACAACTGGTGGGTTTGAACCTTTGACCTTAGGGTTAGCAGCCGAGCGTTAACCGTTGTGCCACCAAGGCTCCAGGGGTATAGCCATAAAAAAGCACTTAGATGATCAGAATCTATGTGGATTTGCAAAAGATCTTAGCAACGATGGGAATTGATGCCTGTCTCATTTTACTGCTGCAAACGAACGGCGTTCCAATTGCTGAAAACTTTCTCAAATGCTAATATTAAAGCCTACTTACTGTACATGCTCGAGTATAAGTCAACCCGAGTATCAGCAGAGGCACGCAATTTTACCACAAAAGCGGCATAAAAAATATGCTAAAAAAGTCGGCTTATACAGGAGTATATATGGTACTTTATGTTTATTTAATGACAATGAAAACACATAGCTATGCTGATAGCCTTTCTTTAAAGAATATATGTAAATGTCAAGATAACTGGTTTAAATTTTCATATATATATAACTTACTACATGAACATTTGAGTTATAAAAGTATAGTTAATAATTAAGTTTTAAAACTCTCTATGGTTAAGACTAAACAGAATTTACCCTACCCCCCAAATTCTCAGATTAGATTCACTTATCCCAGTTTGGGGGTCTACTTTAGTTTTAGCATATCTTACCCTCACCAGCACACTCCTTTTAATAACCTTCCTTACAACGTCACTACTCTGTATTGTCGCAGGTAATTATTTCCAAGTGCACAGAAAAAGGGAGTGCATATGCTCTCTCACACACAATATCCCAAAACACTGATTTCAGATGAGATGTTAATGATTACATCTAGCATTATACTACTTGAATTTAATAATAAAAACTTACCAGTTTGTTATAAAAAGATACAAAACCATAGCCTTTGGATTTTCCAGTCGCCATGTCTTTAACTACCCGGGCATCCCTGTGAAAAGAAGCACAGCTAAATGAGGGAAGTCAGAGTTACCCTCCAAATAAAAACTAAAAGGAACCACACACACTGTATTGTGAGCATTTTTAAAAATAAAACTCCAGTTAGCCCTAAGTAACTACAGCCATTCCTGAACTCTCCCTAATGTTTCTTTACCTGTTAGAAAAAAGCAGTAGGACAAAAACATGTAATAAACATGCAACCTAATCAAATAGCCTGTGCTTTCTATACTAAATGCTCAGCTTTGAAGATTAAAAGGAACAATAGTTTCCTCTTCTAATATTCTATTGGCTAGTGTCTTCTATGGTTTACTGATTCTATAAATTACTGTAACAATGCTAACTACTTTACCATGCAATCTCTAAATAGTTAAATGTCTTCTGCCTAGTGATACAAAATATATGAAATATTAAAAAATTGAAAAAGAGGAAAAAATAGGAATTAAAAAGGCATACATGGCCTGTTAACAGATTTCTTTATTTTTCTTGGTCAATTCTCTACCATCATTTTGGAGTTTGGGCAGCTGTAAATTTTGAAAAATTGACATTTTCAGAAATTTAAGAAAGGAGAATAAAAAACTAACAACAATGCTAAGCACACCAGTACGAAAACAACAAATTTACACAGAAATTTTAGTGAGTAAGTTAAAATGATTGGAAATATAGAACTCCACTGAATATAGAATGTTAAAATGTCAATACTAAAATATGTATATATAAATAATGTATAATAAGAATAAATAGAAATGAGAAAAAATCTACAACTGAGTTCCAGTGTGCACAGTTCCTTGCAGTTAGCCTTCAAGGTCCTGTCCATTCTTATGAGCAATTCTGCAAAATAACCAGAATGCTATTACTTTTAATTGTGACTTGGACTTTAAAAAACTGTAGGTCTCAGGTATAAATAAAGATCGAAAAACAGCAACCTGTATTATTTTTCATATTGATTATTAAGACAGTACTACTTACCATATTTAGTGATTAAAAAGCAAAGCAAACATCAAAATAGAAAATTAAGAATTATATCTTTCAATTAAATTATACAGAACAACAAATTGTATAAAGAAATTGTTGTTCTTAGTTGAAACATTCCTGTAAAGCAGTACTAAACCATTTAATTTAGATTCACAGGAAGCAAACATATAAACTGGTTTTATCCAGAAAGATAAATGGTGGTAAACATTTTACAAAACTTTTAACTTTCAAATATATTTGATCAAGAGCATAAAATTTCTTAAAAAAACCAAATCACATTTGCCCTCTAACTAAGCAAAATCCAAACCGCTAACTAAAATACCTATGAATTAACCCCACACTGTGACTCCAATATTGAAACATTTTAATACTGTACGATTACCACTTTTTACTATGCTAAAATATCAAAACAATTATTATAGTTAATTATAAACATTTCTAATCTAGTCACAATACATCCAAGGATTTATCTACTTTGTACCACTTATAAACTCCTCCCCATAAATGTTTAATATATAGTGTAAATCATTTATTTTTAGTACGCCATCATCCATAACCATCAAATGATAATATTGACAAAAAGTCAGACTTTGATAGGTTTTACTTTCCAAACATCTGCTTAAAAGATAACAAACAGAATCACTTAAAAATGTTAAACACATTATATACAGGATTAGATGAAAACAAGACCCCTCCCAAACATTGAAATGACATGAACATTTTCAACAACATCTATTACTCAAAAAGAAAAGAAAAACAAACAAACAAACAAACCCCAGACTAACTAAGGAAAGAAAATCTGGCTTCCAATACAAGTGAATTATTACAATTTTGCCTATCACTACTGAATATAGTATTGATTACGATACTTACGATATTTTACCAAAAGGGGCAAATGCAGATTTGATATCTTCTGTTGTAATTTCTGGACTCAAATCCCCAACAAATACGTGGAAGTGATCTGAAAAGAAAGCATTTGGTAATCAAATACTCAAAAGAAGCCAGCTACTTTTTTTTTGGGGGGGGGGGGCGCGGCGGCGGCGGGGGAAGACACGGGACCCAACACTGAAAGAGGGGAAACCCTATTTGGGCTGGTAAAAAGCTACCAGATCATTTCAGAACTCTTCCACAGGAAACTGCAGCAGGAGTACTTACTGGAAGTATCTTTTTTCTGGCTACTTGGTGTTGTGGCCCAGTTTACTTTGACTTCCTAAAAATAAAGATAGTATTTAGTACAATTATTAACTATATCATGTTATGAATCTAGTAGGACATATCAATTCATTTATCAAGCAGGATTTAGTCAAGTGAAAGCATTTGGCTGAATAAGGCAAAACCATCCCCCAACAGTAAAACTTACGAAGAATTAAAATTTGACATGCAGTACACGCATACATACACACACTCATTTTTTATGGGTTCCATCCGTCGATGGATGACCTTACCTTTCCCAAAATTTTTCTCCCATTCATAGCAGCTAATGCAGCAGCTGCATCCCTGTGTTCATAAAATTCCACAAAGCAATATGGGTCATTGCTTGTATGCTGCAAAACAGAAAATCCAACAGAAGAGTTGACCCTTCTGCTATCGGGTTGCTGAGAAGAAAATCCAGGAAAAAACATTACTGATAGCTAGGATTGTACACAGTGTGATTGCATATGCTTATGAAAGCCTAGCACTTTAAAGACACGACTTACAGCTAGACTTGACATCACAACTGCACTTAAGCCACACCATAAAAGCAGTGTGGACTCATGACTATCTGTTATTAATTAATAAATCTTACTGTTAGGATGTTTCAGACAGATAAAAGGAGACACCGCCCCCACCAAAGATTAAAGACAGAGCAATGAAAAATGTAAAATGCAAGTCTACACTTTTATATATTGTTCATAGCTATTTGTGGAGGTACTTAAGTAACTCACCGATCAAGATCAAAACTCAGAATTCTGCCGCAGTATGTGACACACGGAGCTGAAATGTATTCTGGACCAGACAGACCCTCCCAGTAAGCCTTCTGAGAGATGAGGACCACTCCCTACCACTGTTTTACTCCTCTACAGTTTTAAAAGGATGAATCCTATTTATAATCCTTCCCTCATAAACTGTATCTCATGCCTATTAATAACACGGAAAGAACCAAACTTGACAATTGTTATTCCCGAGCAGAACCTGGATTAGCACTGGAAACGACAATACTGTTCCAAAGACTGGGGGGGATTCTATTTTCTTTTCTGGGCAAGGCAAGAATAAGCATAGAAACTGAAAAGTAAAGATTTATAAGCAACTACTGAAATCAATATTCCCATATAATAGAGAATCCATATACTTTGAACTTGACCTTCCTTCAAAACAGAAATAGAATAGTCACGAAGAATTTCTGGAAATGTGTTAGAATAAAATATTCTAAGACATAGCTATATTTCTATATCCAAAGCACACCAATATAAGAAATCCTTATTCTTATATTCTACAACAACATCCTGGTTGCCAGTAGGTGGCAGAGATTTATAAAGAGTAAGAAAAGTAGCTAGTGCTACTAGCTACTTACTACATGACAGCAATGTTATCATTTATCATGGAAGTTAATTTCTACATAATTATGGCCTATATTGAATAAGCGGTTCAATTTTAGAAATGTTATCTTTTTAGGTCAGGTTAAAAATGTTCATCACTGTTCAACAAAAAATGTCCTAAAAGGATAATATTTATAATATAGACTTCTACTTGGATTTAGAAGGGATAAAAATGCCGATTAAAAGATCTTTGAAACAATCACTTGTTTCTCTTCCAGAGACATTTTAGAAGAAAAATAAAGACTAAGATACCTAAAACAAGTGTGGAGGCAACCCTAGGCATTTCGTGGGGGGGCAGAGGGGCACAAATGTGATCATTAACACCAACACCACCACTATGGGTTCTCATACAAACCCCTAATGTGAACGGAGTTCTTAGAGGGAGAGAAAGAAAACTGAGGGAGGGGGACAGAGACGTCAGAGATTAGTCTCCAAGTAAACATATGCACTTAAAAGGTTTTTAAGAACGAGTTGATATTTACCAGTAATGTTCACTGAAGGAAGGATTTAAGAGCAAGTCTACCGACTAGCCTCAAGTTTGCCTGACAGGCAGCAGGCCAGCACCCACTCAATGCCCCTTTGTAATCTAACACACTGAACTTCACAGAATTTAAGACAATTTTTTTAAAGCCACATCTCAACTGTCAAGATGTTAACATTTTAAAAATGTTTGCCCTAATCAATAATATACTTTATTATTGTAAATGGGGAAGCTTAAATCCAACATAGAGATCTAAAGTAGAAAACCACAAAACTAAGGAGAGGAAAAAGGACCTATCTTGAAATTTATCTTATTAAATTCATTTAATCTACCAGAAGGCCCGCGCTCTGGCTTTTGGAAGCTCTCCGTGTCACACCATCACCAAGGGGGCTTACCTCCATTAGTGCTGCCACCAATTTTGTTGAATGTCATAAAACGTCAAGACAGAAAAATATTAGCGTTCACAACTTATTTAAAAGTCCTTATCTAAGGAGTTCTAGAATAGGGATACAAGAATCCTTTTCAAATCTTTCTATCCCCAACTAGTGGGGTAAATCCATAAGGTTTTTTCTGGTATTGTTTGGATCAAATGCTGTTAAAGTAGTCTTTATCAAGTATTTCTCAAAATTTTTTAAATTACTCTTCTCTCTCACATCCCATTCTCTCCTACATCTTCTCTAGGTGGAAATCAGGACAGCTCTGCCACATCCTCCTGGATACCTGTCGTCTTCATCTTGACTTCCAAGCAGTGACAGTGACTCTCCACCTTGGCTCCCCCGTGCTCCTTTAGGTTTTCATGTTACCTCACTGCAGGCTTCCTCAGGTGATGGATCTTCCTCTTCCCTCGACCTCCTCAGGTTGAGGCAGCCCCGGGCTCAGGCCTGTACCCCTCTAAACTTCTCTACGCCTTCTCAGAGGTGGACAAACTATCCAGCCCCTCATATCTGCAGCAGTGGTCGCTCCAGACTTCCAAACTAGTATATCCAAGTACCTACGTAACACATCCATCTAGGTGTCTAGCACAGGCCTTAAATCAAACAATGCCTGATTCCCATCACCCCGATTTTAGTGAATAGTAGGACTATCTACACAGGCACACAAACACAAATCCAGGGCTTTCTTGCTTGTTTGTTCTGCCTTACTTCCCACAGCTAACCTACCTATTCCTAAATTCTTCCCCCAAATTCACCAACCTTTTTTTCTACAGCTACTACTCTAGAGTAGAAGCCCTCGTGATTTCTTACCCAGACAGTGAAATATACCCTGCTGCCCTGCCCCTCCATTCTGTTCTTCACACAGTCATCTCAAAAACCTGCTACTGCAGAGCCAGAATAAAATCCAACCAGTGCCCTCAGGGATTCCGCACCTTGCCTGCATTTCTGGACTTGTTTCCCACCATGCCCCTTTATCACTCACCAGCTTCCAGCCATCCTGGACTTTGGTTCCAGAACACATCAAGCTCACTTCCAACTCGAGGCCTTTGCATTTGCTCTTCCCTCTGCCTCCAACTCTTAGCATAGGTGGCTCCATCTTGCCATTCCCGTCTTAGCTCAAATAGGTGACACCTTCCTTACCTCCCCTCTTATCACCACTGTCCCTCTAATCACTATTACAGCATTCTGGTTTATTCCCTTCAGCTCTCACCCCTCTCTGAAATGATCTTACATATTTGCTTATTGATAATACTCTCATTAAGATGAGACCTTACAGGCACCTCATTTGTCTGGCTCTCCACTATTTCCCCAGAGCTGTGAGTAACACCTAGCACAAAGTAAACTCTCAATTAATGAATGAATGATCAGAGGGGGCAAAAAGGAAAACTATACACCAGAACAAAATGGTGACTGTCATTCATTAGGAAGATGATCAAAAGGCCAACCTGCTTAGTTTTTTTACGGGTGTCCCACGATCTAGGTACAATTATTTACATGGCTCTGCTTTATGCCAACTCCCAGTCCAGCCTCTAACCAAGGCACAAGTTCCGTTTTTCCCTCTTTTTCTCGCAAGTACTGTTACACCGAATCGAGGCTCTTCTCTCCACCTAGAATCCCTTTCCCCAAAATCCCTTTCAAGCCTATTCTCACTACTACTCTGCTGGGCTTCAGTCTAGATGCTGATTCCTACAAGAGCCTCCCCAATCCTCCTAGCCATGTCCTGGACCCCCTCTCTCCCCTCTGTGCTCCCACAGTGCTCTGAGCTGCCTTCTCCCATAGCAGTGATTGTTTTCTTGGTTTCCCTGACTAGTTGCTGGAATTCTGTAAGGCTAGGGAGTTCCTCACCACTGTTCCCCTCACACCTACATAGTGAACACTAAGGGGAAAAAGTATTAACAAAGAAACAAAAATACAAGGAAAAAGCAAAACAAAACTGAAAACCTGAGTTTCTAGGCATTGTTATAATGTCTAAACCAGAGAAGTATAAAAATTAAGTCATTTTTGAAAAAAACAAAAAACCCAGAGAACAAGATTATTATCCTAAAAACTTAAATACCTTTGACTACATCGACACAAAGTTGTTTGGTTAGCATTTACTCAAAGTGTAAACACTGTACCGTGCTGCTCTACAAACCTGATTGATAATCTGTTCTTTTTATATAAAATTACTCATCTTTAAATGTCTCCTCTCTAATGCAGTAACTTCTTACTGGACTTAAGAAATTCGACCTCATTTGCCACTATTCTAAGATAAGCTCTAATAACTTTTTTCCTAACAACTTCTTAATAAGCAGAAGCCCCTGCAAGATAACAGTATTTGGAAGCAGTGAATAAAGTGTTCAGCTGCTAACAAAAAGGCCAGTGGCTTGAACCAATCAGCCACTCATGCTGCGCTAGAAAGATGAGGCAGTTTGCTTCCTTAGTAAGATTTACAGCCTTGAAAACACTGTGGGGCAGTCTACTCAGTCCTATAGTGTTTGCTATGAGTTGGAATTGACTCGCCAACTGAGGGGCTTGGGGGTTTTAAGTCATGCAGACAGAAATGTCACCCTTACAAGTAAACCACCAGTCTACACAGTGTGTCAGAAAACCAAAGGGAGGTAATGCACCAAACATGAATTTCTTTCTGAGAACAAGTTATGGCTTAAAATTACTTTTAAAAAGGATATTAATCACGCATCTCAAAATCTTAAACCATGCTAATTGAAAGCACACAGAATGGAGAAGATCTTACCTCTGTTATCATTTTACAGCTTTTACAGGGTCCAATCTGACTAAATAACTGAAGGATAAGGACTTCGGTCACATCTCTGGAGAGGTTACCTACGTATCTGTCCAAGAAGGAAAAACAAAAACAATCAAGACATTTTCCTTCAGCTGACTCTCAGTTGTTATCATTGAATCCATCATGTTATCTTTGAACAACTTCCTCTATCTCCATAAAACTTTTCCCCAAGTAATCGTAATCCTGTGAAAGGTAAGATTAACCCTGATATAGGAAAGTAGTAATTGTCCTGTAGCTACAGTACCACCTCAGTGCAGACACTATAAAGAACTAATGAGTGTAACCTTGCACACAACCAAAGATGTACTATTCTGCACCCTCTCTGAGGGTACTTCAAATACTTTGTGAAAAACCAAAATGGCAAGATATGACAAAATAATAATTTATAAATTATCAAGGGCTCATGGGGGAGGGGGGAGCGGGGGAGGGAGGGGAAAATGAGGACCTAATGCCGGGAGCTAAAGTGGAGAGGAATGTTTTGAGAATGATGAGGGCAATGAATGTGCAAATGCGCTTTACACAATTGATGTATGCATGGACTGTGATAAGAGTTGTATGAGCCCCTAATAAAGTGATTAGGAAAAAAGAAAAACCAAAAATGAAAAGATAGTGGGGTTTTTTCCCCCATGAACTTTTTGACACCTCTCTGATACCATTTTCTCATTTCATTCTGTTAAAATTACAACTATTCTCAATATGTGAACTGCAGGTTTTGGACAAGACACGTAACTGTAAATTATCAATACTGATTCATGAAATCACTTGAAAAGGACATTAAACATAAGGTACATCTTAGACTGCAACCAAAGCAACCACATGAACACAGAGGGAATTAAGAATGAAGTTAACACAGAGATGGGAGGCACTTTTTCCCCCCTCTTTTTCTTTTTGACACAAATTGTTATCCATGATATCTTCACTTCTTTTCCTTTGTTTTAGGAGTGCAAAGTAAAATCCAAAATTATCCTGTTATTTCAGCATCAGAATCAACAAAGTACATCTTTTTATAGACAAAAAAAGAAAACAAATATAAAATTTCCTTAGAAATTCAGAGAAAAATGAAAATCCACTAAAATGTATAAATTCCACTAAGGGCATTTATAAAGATTTAGGCTTTTTCCCCCAATTACAAATTTAATGCATGTATTTCCTACCAAAATGATGAACTGCAGAGGAAGTTTAAAATTTTTTAAAAGTACTTAACCACCATTGAGATGATCACCTTGGACCATAGATTGATCTCAGTAAACTGCCAAAGTTTATTACATCTGTAATAAACCACCCCACAAACCAAACAAAATTTGTAAAATTCAACAGTCTCTTGTGGAAAGCAAAAGGATCTAAGTTTTATTTTCCTAATATATAACATCTGGAAACTGAACACTTAGCCCAAAATAAGCCGACATCCACTGGTTACCATAGTAAATACATAACTGCTTTCAGATGGAAATGGTTGAGGCCCACGACACCATCTTCTCCTTAAAATTAAAGTAAAGCCCATCGGGGTGGGCCAGGCAGTGACAGCCTTTTTCCAGCAGTCGTGCAGGGCTAGAGGATCATGAGCTGGCCACACCTATCCTAAGTGCTTGTCCCATTTCAGCTCACAAGGTTTGTGAGCCACTGTTCACTAATTTCTTATTGTACAAAATAAACCAATCTATAAGGAAAATGAATTAAGTGGCCTTCGGCTACTATGCATGAAGCTTACCTAATGTAAAGGGCTACCTATGACACCTATAAGGAATCAGAGGAACGGACAAAATGAGTCTTCACATGTGCAAGTAGCAATACTGAATCAGAATTACTAGCTTAATAACATTGAATTTAAGTAATTTAAAATTTACATTAACAAAAAAATGTACACTATTGTTTACACATAGGTTCCCCCCACTCCCACCCCTCCGGAAAAATCTTCAATACTTAGTAAAAGCTGTTACTATCAATAGTAACTAAAACCAAACCAAACCAAGGCGAGTGCCATCAAATCGCTGCCCGCTCACAGCGGCCCTACAGGAAGGACAGTCTCTGAGACACTGACTCTATGGGAGTAGGCACGAGTGGCCGGTGATTTTGAAATGCTGCTCTTGCAGTCACCAGTACAGTGTGTAATCAATCCACTGTGCCACCTGAGGTCTACATCGAATCAAAGCATTTCACATCCACTATGACCAATCAGTAATACTTTGAAGAGTTTCTAGGGATACATTTAGATATATTATTTCTAGCACATGTGCCCAGGAGTAAATATACCATTAGGTAGAATAACAGAAATGCAACTTTAAGGTTTCTTAAGTTTCAAGTGTCTCCAGTAAAAGCTGAGATAAGAAGCAATTACAACTCAAAAATAACCCCCACAGGCCTTCTATGCACCACTTTTGTTTTGTGCTGCCAAGTCCATTCTGACTCCTACAGACCCTATACTAAGGAGTCAAACTGTCTCAGACACTCTTCCATTCACAGGCGTGAAATATCCCCAAGCCAGCCCTGGCCAGCATCTTGATTTACCAGAATAAAAAGGGCCTACCATATATACTCAAATATAAGTCGAGTTCTCCAGCACATTTTTAATGCAGTTTTTGAGGTAAAATTAGGTGCCTTGGTGGATATTCGGGTCGACTTAAACTCGAGTATATACGGTAATTAACCAATCGCAATGACTGACACATAACCACCCCCACCCCAAGGGGAGGGACAACAGAAATGTAGGTGAACAGAAACAGCAGTCAGTATAAGATATGAAAATAATAATTTATAATTTGTCATGGGGTCATGAGGGAGGGGGCAGGGCAGCTGATACCAAGGGCTGAAACAGCAAGTAAATCTTTAGAAAATGATGGCAACATTTGTACAACACATGTACAAATACGCTTGATACAATCGATGTATGGAATGTTATAAGCGCTGTAAGAGTGGGGAGGGGGGAAAAAAGCTGTAAGAGCCCCCAATAAAATGAATGATAAAAAGGGGGGCCATAATTAGCTATTTTATTTCACCTAAAATTTACCCAAATTTCAGACGGTCTTCCCCTTAACACGGAGTTCCATAGTTGATCATAATATTCAAGACACATTATGTAACGTCTAAAATACTGTACTGCTTAATTTATCCCAAAATAAATACTAACAAAAATATTTAAGACAAATGTCTAACACCTGACCTTGTAAGAACGCCATTCCCTAGTAGCAGAGAAAGAACACCTTTATTTTCCTTTCCAAAATTATAGTTTTTAACCTTTCATCTTCTTTCTATTCTGGTTTATACAGTTAATATAGTCTAAATTTTAAAAGATAGATTGTCCACTTGAATATATACAACAGGGCCAGACAAATGGCTTAAATTCTTGCACTGAGGTCACTTAAATCCCAAATGATTATGAGTAAGAAAATAGAGAAACGGCCTACCTTACAAATCACTTGTTTTCTAAGAATGGGCACTATAGGAACTAAAGCATCCAAATAGGAAAATGAGGCTTTTATCCATAACATCGGGGGTTAAAATCCAATTTGAGGCCAGAAACTTGGTGATTTCACAGTAGGCAAAAGTTCACATTGCCAAACCACTTCCTATGTCCAACTGGACAGAATTTTAAGTTGAGAGCAATAGTGCCTGAAAACGAATCATAATCTTTGAAACACTAATGGGGTTCTCCTTCTGAAAAGATGCCCAACCCAAGCTGAAATTACCAGCATTTTTTACACACAATAAACTGATTTAATTTAAATTACAATGCCTGCTTTTATTCTCGACAAATTCCTATCTAACAGATTTTGCAACAATATTCTTCAGTAGACCACAATTAACTGTTCAATTTGCCAATATTTCATTTTAGGGAAGAATCAGCGTGGAGAAAGATGCAGACAGGACAAGTGAACCACGCACACGGATTTTAAAGAATCTGAATGTAAGTTGAACAAGGGGTCTAATTATACTCATGATATAACAAAATCCGTATCCACCGCCATCGAGGGGATTCGGACTCACAGTGACCGTACAGGGCGGAGTAGAACTGCCCCATAGTTTCCTAGGCGTACAACCTTTCCAGAAGCTGATGGCCACATCTTTCTCCCATGGAGCCACTGGTGGGTCTGAACACGAAACTTTCAATCAACAGCTGAGTGCTTAACTACGTGTCACCAGAGCTCCTTAATCCATGGTATAACGAGTCCACTTGGTATTTTCTTTCACTCTTACCCTTAGACGCTCAGCGTGTCCTCTAAATCACCAGTTATTGCCACCTTCTGACTGAGCTTCTGAGCTTCGACCATGAAGAATAGCCTTCAAGAATGGCACTGGTAATGTGGCATGATCCCAGCTCCTCCATTCCTGCCACAGATTTTGGTGCACTGGGCAGATGAAGTCAAACTCAAATACAGCAGAACAGGACTCCAATGTAGTGTCTTCTTAGGGACTCAGATATACCAGGATCAAACCACTGCACTGCAAAGCTACCCCCAGCAAAAGCCTGAAATGAGTGCCCTAGGATGCACAAGGGCCGGCAGCCCAAACAACAGTGCTACTCGGCAAGATTTGTTTGTTCAAGTTGCCCGATACATTTCACCCCCAAATAAATGTCTAATGGGAATGAAGACCACTGGAAAACAGCTTAAAGCTGTTGAGCTTTATGCTCCACATCAAAACAATTCTATACCACTTAAATGCCATCAGATAAATCAGTAATACTGTAGGTAATGAATAGTTAAAAGACCTACCTAGGCTATAAACACCATATTGTTTTCTGAAGATAGAACCATATGTCTTAGCTTGTGTGTGTCTGCAGGGAAAAAAACCTCACTAGTAACACATGGATTTTAAGCAAACAGTTTAAGTTAAGTTTTGTTAAGAACACATTTAGAAACAAACAAAGCAGAAACATATTATAGCCACCTGAAACCCTAATATACAAATCACAAAGCAAAATATGGGCATGATCTCCATAATAAACAAAACCTTGTAAGACATCAACCTCTAAAATCAAGTTCAAAATGTTCATTCATGTTACTTGTATCTAAGAGACTCCTTTGAGGAGAAATATGTAGAGGTATATGTAAAACAATCTCATGCATTCTTTTCAATAAGTTTTGACAAAAATCCTACCTGTGACATGTATGTTTGGATCTCAATTTTTTACATTTCGGGGGCTTAAAAATAAAAATCAACAGACCACACCATGGATGACAGCAATACTTAACCTATAATTTTAAATCAATTAAAACTTTTTGAAAAAGAGCTTAATAGTAATTAAGTGAAAGAAGTATAATCATTGTAAACTATTTATTGAGTACCTCTCTTCTGTGCCAGACAGGGAAATAAGCGCTGCAGGGTTGACCTGGGAGGATGTTAACAGACTAAAAAGTCTTTCTTACCAAGGAAAGGATTGAATGGAGGAGAAAGGTAGACAAGATCATGAACATGCACGCCCCCCGACACGCAGGTACAACAAACCTTCCGATGTCTACTTACTCTTGCGTATACATGTCACATTTTTAGACAACCATGACACTGACCTTTTAAATGTGACTGAGCAAAGAAAGGGCAGGAGACTAGGGAGAGAGGGAGGAATGAAGTGACAGCGTTAGCCTACTGGCCTATTACAGAAGGTCCGCTGTGGTCTCCATCAGGTAACAAAGATAGTTGCATGAACGAAGACAATATATTAAGATTACTTATGTCTGCAAGACAAACCAAGGGAGTCCTCTTTCTAGGAAAAAGACACATGAAGTTTATAATAGCTATGAAAATTTACCTATTATTCAGTAGCGATTATGATGCAATGATGACATCCCTGGTTTTTTGGATACAAAGTAACTTTCATCTGCTCAATAGTGTGGCCTGGTGGCCCTAAATCGTTTTCCCAGATGTTTCTGGTCAAGCATACTTTGCTAACTACATACCAAGACTCGGCTTCCACACATAGATCTTCACAGGCAAATGTCAAGTTTGTCCCCAATCTCTTTTTTGGGGAGAAGATAGTAACGTATGCTTAAGTTGGTCTCCAATTCTTAACACAGAATGACTGATTTTTTTAGTAGCGAAGCAGAAATGAAAAGCCTGAGCACAGGGCTAAAACACACATGCAAAAACCACCACCATTCATATTCAAGAGACTTAGCTGCTTCGCGGATTTCTTGGTTAAGGTTGAAGAGATGAAAAGCTAATGCTGAGTATCCAGC